TATTAAAAACTAAAACAAAGGAAATAAGCTTCGTAATAGAAAATAAAATATTTTTTTTTAAACATATCTTTGAACCAAATTGTCCGATTTTTTTTGTATTTTAGGAAGTTTCGTAAATTTTCAAGTGACCAAATACTTAAAAAAAACAGCAATATCTTTACTATTAGTGCTCTGATTCCGAAAAAAACTTTTGTCGTTTTTTAAGAAATTGAAATACCTTTGAATCGCCTGATTATAAAAATCACATAAAAGTGAATGTCCTAATGAGTTATTAGGAAATCTAATTTTACGACCCGCGTAACGTTTTTCCAGCTTCTTTTCGTTGAAGTATATAGATAAACTTTAAGGGTTTCGAAAGAGAACACTTTATCTAAATTTCATTGAAATCGGTACATTCGTTCAGGCGCTACAGTCTATAGCAACACAGGTTTTTCAGCCGCCATCTTGAAAGGAAAGGGCGGACATTAATGTCTAAGCAGGAGGATAATCCTTGGGGGACTTCTGACTTTGATTCCAAATTTCAAAAAAATCGGTCCAGTAGTTTAGAAGAAAATGCGCGGGCGGCGGACAACAATACTTTTTTATTCGATTTTAGAGTTCTACGTATCCTGAAACGTAAACCTCAAATTTTGAGGGGAGAGTTAGGTTTCTGATTTTTTTTGGACGATTAAAATAATATGGTTCCTTATTGAAAATAATAGAACCAAAAAAAAATGATAAAAACTTTATAATGCTTAGAAACTAAGATACACATTTCACTGATGAATTTCAACCATGCGTGTAAAAAATCAAAAGCGGGATTGTAGAAAATCTAAGGTAACTGTCACGCACTTAAAAATGGTACAGAAATGGTAACAGGAAGATATCATTATATAAATAGACAAAGACTTCTATCCAATTATTTTTTTTATCTTATTTTTTTATTATTATTGTTTTTTTGCCTTGTAAGTATTGGCGTACTTTAGTGTCATCAATAAAAATATTTTGGAATCGGTGTTTATAAATAAAAATGTAAACGATGATTTGTTCAAAACCGTATATCTCCGTATGACTGATTGATTTGAAATTTCGAAACAACTTTGCATTAAAATTCGGGAGAGTTTTTATATACATCACATTACCACACGGCCGAAAACCCTGTGTCGTTAAAGCCTGTTGCGCCAGAACGGCAGTATGATTTTAATGAAACTTGACTAAAGTCTTCTTCTTGAAGGCCCTTTAGTTTATGTACATAACATACTTTCCCGAAAAGAGGTTGACAAAAAAAGTAACGATAGATTCAGAATTTTATTTACGATCAACTTAAAAATAATACAAAGGGTATTGATGTGTTTGGTATATAAAGTATATATACAGGTGTATGTTCGTCGATATACAATGAATGAGTAGAAAAAGAAATGTTCGAAATGTGTAAATTCATATGATTCACTCAAATTTTCAATATTAATTATAGACGAATTTCGACGGCTCGGTAAACCCTTGTATTAATAAATTTAGAAAAATGTTTTTTAATTGAAAAATGAATCAGGGATCTAATAAAATATTTATATGTATATTTCATCACCTGATCTATTAGCCAAAACCAAATTCATTCAATTCATTACTCAGTTTACGAGCAAATGATTTAACCATTTTTATTAAAATTAATGGATATGAATTTTATTAAAAACATTCAATAAACTAAGAGCCTGCCTATTATGATAATAGAATTATAACGACTTAAACGTGGTTTAATTCCAATCTCTAGTATCACAAACTACCTTGATCTTTGAATTCCGCAACTTAATGTCCTCGACTCAACACTATCACCTGTGCCATTATCAACCACGATTCAGCAACAATTTTTTCTAATGGCTAAAACGATTACTCACATTAAAACTCACTAATAATGACTAAAAGAAGGTTAATGTGACACTAATCTCCGTTATAACACGCAAATTGATAAACCATGCAAGATAAGCGATGCAACATAGTTGTGACTCATATATATGAGCTGGTATTCGATATCAAGTATGCTTTTCATTTCTGACTTTCCGATAAGATTGAATGTACTTAAATAAGTTGTAACTTCACACTATCCGTTAAACGAATACTGTCAAAATTGTATAGATCAATAAATCCTCAGTTATCATATAGTTATCCTCAGTCTTTGATAGTCCAAGATTGGTCCTGTCGAAACTAAAAGGAAGGAAATAGAATAGAAGACATGGAGGATACAAAGATACAGTGTGCTATATCTGTTATATCGCGGTCTATATCTGTATTAACCACATTACATAATGCTTAGAAAATAGTACTATATATATATATATATATATATATAGAGAGAGAGAGAGAGAGAGAGAGAGAGGGAGGAGTGAGAGAGAGGGAGGAGTGAGAGAGAGGGAGGGAGTGAGAGAGAGAGAGAAATCTAATTATCTTTTAAAATCACATAATAAAAAAGATTGAGATGGATATAAACTGAATGAATGAAGTAATTTCTTATTTGCTCATTTACATTAAAATATTTAGCATTAAAGCGAGTTTTTTTTTTAAATAAGATTTCTTTACAGAAAATATATACAAACGTAAACAGAATGTCATGTTATTAATAAAGCGATTCATGACATTATTTTATCGATCTAATTTGAAATATTTTTTTTTAAATAATTGAAAAATTTATGAAGAAAGACGAAACGACTTCATATCAAAGACGGGCATCTGTCATTTACAGAAAGAGGAGAAGAAGTCAACTTTCTTTATATAGGTTCAACTCAAACTGTTTCTGATAACAGTTATTTATTCAGTTTATTTGTTACTAGAACTTTTTCCATCGCAACTTTTCAAGTAAAGGTTTTACAGAACTTTTATTAAAAAGTGCTATTAATTTCGATAAAATACCGATTTAAAAATTACTGTTCTTCATAGCTACTCAAACAAACGACACATTATACATTAAAATAATGTGTAATTCATTTAAAACAAATTATAACTCTAATGTTAGCCAAATTAATGCTTATTATTCAATCAATGGAACTTTTTTTAATAACTTGAATAAATATACGTTAGACTCTCACCATAAACCTGGAATTTTATTACAAAAAGTTCCTAAGAACTTTTATTTTTAAAACTGTTTTCCTAAAAATGTTCACAGAAACTGTTAAAATGGAACGTTTTTCTACAAGGTTTCACAGAAACTATTAAAATGGAACTTTACAAAAAGATTCTATAAATGATTTTAACCCTGCTTAAAACGTAACATCTTTACCAAGATGTTAGATCTTTAATGGGCGGATCTACGGGGGAGAGGAGGCGGGCTTTGGGGCTGAAGCCTCGTCAAAAATGGTAAAATATAATCATGTTTTATGGAAAACTTTATCTCTCAAAGTATTATTGTTCGTGTAATTGCATTTAAATGGACTTCAGGAATCACTTAAACATCATTTCATATAGGTAATTAGTTTCTTTCTTTCTCTCCTAAGTAATTATCTTTATTTTTATGAAAAAAAAAGCTTTCGGGCTGAAACACCTCCCCCAAAATTAAATCCTGTATCCGCTAGTGTTATCAAGCAATACAAATTGATCAGGAACAGCATTTTTTTTTGCAATATTTTTTTCTCTCCCCTATATTTTTATTTTTGCACTTGCAGGCTTTACATGTACCGGGAAAATGATTATTTAGTATATTTATTTCCAATGAGTACCTATAAGAAAATAACGAGAAGCTAAAAAAATGTATAATATTTTTATCTGACCTCAGGAAGTAATAATCAAAAACTTCTTCAGGCGGAATTTGCACTTTTTTTCTGGAGTGTAAATCAGATTGAGCCGCATCTCCGATGTGTAACGCTCGGGTAAAGTCGGTTGGAGTCGACTAATTAAACTGTTTTTTCATCATTCATGTTACGAAGGAAATGTTCATGGTTCCATCCTTTTTGTAATGAGATATTATTTATAATTTATATTTCATATTAATAATATCGTCTTGTTGATGTATTCATTTCTATCGTTCGGTCTAAACCATATATCTTATTTATTTTTATCGCTGTCTATTACATTTGATTGGAATATTTTTGCTTTTCCTCATAAGTCTATTGACATTATTAATTTCTTTTAAAAGAATATTATTTTCTATAAAAATATGCGCAACATACATAATTGCAAAAAACAAAACAAACCAAACAAAAACGGTCTATGAACTCAAGGAAAAAATATAAATCATCAAGACATTTTTTTAATTGAAATGACACTGCGTTTGCCAAAAAACAGTCCTAAAATGTACAAATTATAAAATATATAAGCTATATTTCTGTAATTCGTACGCTACTTACGTAACTGCGGTCTAAAGGTTGCGTACGTGCTACAAACCTAAGTTTTGTTGTACTCAACACCGCGTCCTTAGAAACACCTTTCATCCATGACCCTTCCACAATCATCAGAATTACTAGGTCAGTCTTACAGTAATTCGCACGATTAACAGAACACGAAGTTGGACATTAGAATTGTCGACTGGAGTTTGAAGATCTCAACTTTGCTATATGTCAACACGATCGTGGCTGATTGATGCAAATGTTGAATAAATTATTTTAAATAGAATATTGACCGTTCAATAATTGAATTCATGAATGTATATTAATAATAGCAACAATTCTAAGCAGGACTGTTTTAAATATTATATTTGCTCTATGACGAATTCAGACAACATTTATGATGACTTGATATACATAATTGGATAAACCGGTTGGGTAGAACAGGATACTGACCACACAGTAACACTAAAGTATATGAAACTCAAAAACACGTAATCACTAACAACCTTTTGCTTTCAATGTTTAAATTCTAACACTTTAAAGGGTATAATAGCTGCTGTCTTGAGTTCAGCTTTTTATTTCTTGATATAATTTATTTAAATTATTAACTTTTAAGTAAACATCTGACTGAGTCAAAATTTATTTATAATAATCCATAAATAGTAATGGATGAACATATAAAAACAAAAGTTTAAGTAAATATTTACTTACTACAAGCTTCTAATAAGACACAAAGATCAATTACCTGTAAACAAAGAAAAACACAAAATTAGTAAGAATCATACCAAAAATTTATATTTGATTTTTTTAAAATAAAGAAAAACACAAATAGAACACTAAGAAGCAAATCCTTTACTCATTAAATACTTTTCAGTTGTGAAAAATATAATTTTTTGGTCACACAAAAAAAAAAATATATATAATCCTAATATAATAAACTTGTTAAAACAAAATAATACCATATCGTGACCACAAACATATTTCATCGTTATTAATAGGTAGGAGTAATTTTTTTTTTTCCAATTTTGGCATTACTACGTACTTTCCGAACGCAAATTCACACTAACACAAACACATACACACCATTTTGCGGGACTTGGTTATTTGGACTCAAAACATCTATTTCCGTTGAACACTCAGATTCGAAAATTTTCACGATCGCATTACTTACCCTTACTATATAGTTCATATATAGGTAAGTGAAAGTAAAAATTTAGTTGAAATCGGTACCCACTGATTGTAGCTTCCCCTTGTGAGTATCTGAAGAATTATTTAGATTTTTTTAAAAATAAATATATTTTTTTTATTTTAACATATTTTTTCAACTGGATATGGCGGACTAAAATATTTAAATGTCTCTATTATGTCAGCTAAACACAAATTCTATTTTTCGCGAAAACATTGTGTATTTTTAAAAACAGATTCTCGATATAGAAAACAATAATTAAAATTCTAACATAAATTATAATCATCCACATTTATTTAAGCAATTGCGTCGACTTCATAAGTCTTTATGAAAACTTCCAAACTCACTTATTTATCTAGCCACATAAAAGAATGAGGACAATCATACTGTCAGCAGTCTTACATATAAGGATTCGGGAATCATCAAATTACTATTCATAAACCACTGAACTGCTTAAGACGGTTTCGGTGAGAATGCTCTGTCAAGAATGGGCGAGTAGAAAGTATTACCTATCAGAAGGAGCAGACAAAATGAAACACCGAAGTCACGGTCGGACAAAAGAATAAACAAGAAACTCAACTTTCCAATTCCCTGAAACTCCTACAGGAGTTGAAGTCACCTGTAGTCGGGATGGAAATTAGTTTAAGAATACTCCATCAATCGGCAAATGGGAGGTTTATAGCTCATTCTTTATGGATTTTACGATCATTAAATTAGTTTGACGACTACTATCATGCAACTTGGGACCAAGGTCGATGATTATAGAGAAGGGTATCACACCACAGACATGCCTCGCGTGAGGCATGACAGCGCTAAAGAGTCGCGACATGGCAGGAGATCTATAGCTCATTAATGTCATTAGTCTCGTTTGGTTCTCCTGTATTGATTCAGGAAGCTAGCTCATAAATCATGAAATCACTCATACAAACATTTTTTAAAGAAAAAAACATAAATACGTATATACACGGTGTCCCGTAAATAGAGGAAAACATTTAAAGGGATGGTAGCAGATTTTAGGAGCTACAAAAAAGTAAAATAAATAATTGCCTGATTTCCAGTAAAAAATTATCAAATTTAAGGTTTGTGTTTTTTTAAGAGAGTCATGTTTTTTTTTAAACAGGAAGCGATAAATTAAAAAATATTTGATTTAATTAACTAAATATTGCTCCATAGTAAACTAGATAAAATTTACTTTAAACGAAAGTAGAGTTTGTCATTGTTAAAAATGTATTTATTTAAAACGGGCTATTGGGCGGACAAACACAGCTAAGTTCAGTTTTTAAAAAAAGTGATAAATTATTTGCGATTCTTTTTTTTACACCCTTCAACTGTAGTACATTTATCCTACTTTTAGAGAAACTTCCTCGTTTAATAAGCTTTAAGTCTATTTTAATTAAGTAGTGGTTTTTAGGAACAATTTCCAGATTCAACTTAAGTTGTGTAAAGAAATAGTGTGATTTTCTATTCAGTCACCTTAAAGTACTCGTGCTTCTTGCAAAAATGGGTACAATTAACTGTTGCAAAGCCTTTATTTCTTGTTTTTCCGTGATGTAGGATGTATTGTAATAAATTATTTATTTATTTAGAAATATAACAATCTGTCACGTGGACAATAATTATAGTGATATATGAACCCATTCACACCATATATACAGAAAACATAAAATGAACAAAAGTGAAATAATAACTAAATAATAATCAAACAACTATGTACAATAAAAAATAAAATGACCTAAAGATAAGTAAATTAAAGCATAAAAACTCAGTCAAATTGAAATAAATAATTGCCATAATAATAATAATTGTCTAACATAATTGCCATTAAAACACATTTTATTGAAATAATGATTTTCAAATATATTTCATGTAAAGTGGTTATGATGTTTTTTTTCTCCCAGATTTCTGTCATAAGAATGATGCCTATTTATAAGTGGCGAAATTCATGTTTCTAGTTCTAGTAATTACATTTAAAATAAAGAAACCTACCGATTGCTTCAATTATTATCAAAAAAACGTTCATTTTCAACGTTACGGAAGATTCTGTGTATTATACCTTTACTTAATTGAGTAAACCATGTAAAATACGAAAGATCAACGAGTACAGGATTCATAATAATAAAAATTGACAAGATAATTTAAGAAATCCAATCATTCATAGAGATATTCTCAGTTAAATACACTTCCACCTGACTAAAAATAGATTCAACCTACAATATATCTCTGCTCTCAAAATGAAAGTTCAAGAAAATATAGTGTTCATAATAATTTACATAATAATACATAGGCATTTTCGAAAACACTTAACGAAGTGTCAAGAATGGCGTAAACCGAAAGATTAACCAACGTAATTAAATGTACGTTTAATGTTTAAGAGTGTTGATTTGCTTTAGTTTTTCAGTTTTGGCGATTTTTTATGAGCAATAATGGATTTAATATAAGTTTTTAAATTGAAAAAATCTATTTGGCAAAAAATAATTTCGGAATCCGGAACTTGTTGCTTTTCACGAATTTCAGAAGATGGAACCAACATCGAAGACACAGGAACCGATTAAAACCATGATGACGTTCGAAGCAATAAAAATGCAATTGGACTATCGTAAAATTTATTTCCGTTTTAACATTAAACGTTATAAGAGTTATACTGAGCTGTGAAATATATTTTCAACATATTACAATAATTATACTCCTTTCTTTGTCTTGCAATCTCCAATTGAAAAGGAAGTATCTGTGGCAAAGAATCAGCTACGTAAATCATAGACTTCGGTTCGAAAACGCCACAGAACATAACAGATGAGTTCCCTTTATAAGTTTTGAGTTCATGGAGCAAGTTCACCCTGTATTAAGTGAATACCTAACCCTTCATTTGAATGGTATAGCGCCATCACTTAATGATCCCGCCAAATTTAACGATCCAGCTATTTTTCAATAATAGTATATTTTATTAATTGGTGATAATTGGAATAGTCCAAGCGTAAAACCACTTTTTAAAACTAAATTGTGAAAAAATAATTTGAAAATTATCCAACATGTGATCCCCATACATTTCCTAAAACATCATCGCTATGCTTTAGGGTTTTAAGGGATTAAACATTAGATATAAACAGGATTGATTTTATAACACGTTCGATGCTACACGGTGGGACTATATTTTCCATAAAAACTATTATATTTACTGCTAAATAGATGGTTTTGCGCTATACCCTTTATTTATGATCTTTGAAGATAATTAATAGAAATAATTGTTTTCTCTTCTCTGTATAATATTAAAATTATATTATTTCCTTTAAAAAAAAAAAACTCGATTTCCATAATACAAAAAAAATTAAAATTGAAGACTAAGCGATAAATCAAGTTGAAGGTTATATTAAAAAAAAAAAGTAAAAAAGATCGCCTAATAGCAGACAGCGTTAACGTTTATAGACAAAGAAACGGAAATTAAAAGGGAAAAAAGAGGTTAAGAAAAAGTAAATAAGAGAGAGAAAAAGAAACCGCAGCTGAAATGGAAGAAATGTTTTCATATATTGCGGTTGGTATGACCTTTGTGTAATATTGCGAAAAGAAATATTACGTGTTATTTAGCATTTGTTTTGCATTGGTCTTAACACGGCCAAATGTGTGATCCTGTGGTTTTATTTATTATTTATTTATCGAGAAGTTCATTTATAAATTAACAATTTTTATTATTTTAGAGTAATATTGTGTAGTCTCGTTCACCGTTGAAAAGCGTATTCTGAATAGAATTATTTTAATAAATAATTAACTAATATATATATATATATATATATATATATATATATATATATATATATATATATTATATATATATATATATATATATATATATATAACTAATGCAAACAATCCATAAGGCATTGGGGGCGAAACAGTACGGTAAAGACACGAAACTGGCTGAGCAGAACAAACGAGGCAGAGGTTGCTCAAACTGCCTTTCCCCAGACAGTGTAGCCAACCTTCCAGGAGAGCCTGTTAATTATATGAGAGAATTGCGAGGATCCATTGCGCAAATGGTTACTAAACATCCTCCACTTCTTCAGAAATGAACCGAGCGGGACCACGAAGACACTGAAAGCAATATCTTTCCCTCTCTTGCAGTTTATTGATTAAACATACTGTAGTCATTGATCAATTCTTATCCCTCCCTCCATAGTAAAAAAAAGCGATTTTTAAATAATATAGTCACCGACTGCTTATTCTGAAACTAATATGAATATGAAAGCAAAACATTTTTCGTTCATCATATACCTAGGTAGGTGTTAGAAATGAAGAACGCACTTTAATTGAAATGGTACAAGTACAGTTGTATAACGATGGCTTAATTATAAAAAATTATAATAAAAAACTATCCTAAAATTTTAAAAAATTAATTTATTGATGTTTACTACTGTATACATATACAATAAAGTAAATCTGCTAAAACATGATAAAAACTAGTACCCATTAGTAGCACTTCAAAAATTAAATTAATTTAGGAGGTCTCTTGGTCATCTTCTTTTCAGACGCCTAGGAGGGTTGTCAGGATGAAAAGTTATGAACTAGAGGGTTATGGT